CGCCTTCCAGGAGCGGCACCGGCTGAGCTGCGAGGAGGCGGCGCGGCTGCTGCTGGACGCCTAGTGAGTACGGGGCCGGGGCGGCTTTTCCCGCAGCTCCTCCAGGCTGAGCCCTGCCCTGCCCGGCGGCTCCTTCCCCCGGTAGATCCTCGGCCTCTTGGCAGCACTTGCACTAAACACGGGCTTCGGGAGAGCGGCGGAGAAAGGCGGGGGGACGGGGGTGGGGGGTGACCCCCCGGCACGCACCACGGCTAAAGCGGCTTTTTGTGCTCAGGGTGCCTCTGGTTTAGGGCTCTCCCGTTAAAAATGCCCTTGGGGGCATGGTGCGGGGGCGGTGAGGCTCCGCTTCTCAATCTCCACCCCCTCCTGGGCTCGCTCTTTCCAGCACACAGCACATCATCGCTGGGCTGCGATCAGTGACCGGCCGTGGGAATGAAAATCTGAAAGGAAAAGGTTTTTCCTTTGCTTTGACCTAGCATGGGGATTCTGCCCAGCTGCTATGGAAGAGTCCGGGGGGAGAGGGAGAAGCACAAGCTCCGAAATTCCTTGATCATGAAGTTCCTCTGTAATGACAGTACAAAATAAAATGCATTTCCAATATTACGTAGAATCCACTTGTCTTTGCTTTTCCCAGCTTTTAAATGGAGGAATATGAGTAGTGCTGGAGCAGCTGCAGGAAAATGGTGAGAAAATTCAGTTGCCAATTCCAAGGGGGTTGTCTTGTGACACCACCACTCCTCTCTACCTACGACCCTCCCGACCCTGTAGCCTGGGTCAGCATTTTGACCTGGACTGTGGCAGCGGTGCACGTGTTTTGTACTGCACGTGGAGTGTGCTTTCCTTGAACTGTTGCTCTTCTTTCCCTTTCACCATTTTAATTAAACCAGAAAAGCAATTGCTGTAGAGGACAAAGGCTGTTCTCTACCTCCCTCTGGCACTTTTTATTAAAATATACTTGAGTGGATACATTTTCTAGTGTTCTGCATGTGCCCAAAGCAGAACTGAATAATGTAGTATATAGCCTTAATGTTTTCTTGGAAAAAAAAAAGAAAAAAAAAAAAAGAGTATGGTCGCAAAACCTCCATGTTGTCTCTCTCTCCAGTGAATACAGAGGTTTGGTCAAGCACACAGGAGGCTGTCACTGTGGAGCCGTCCGCTTTGAGGTCTGGGCTTCAGCAGATCTGCATGTTTTTAACTGCAAGTGAGTTGATTTTTTTGTTCCTTATTCTCACAGATGAATATAAGCTTGTACGCTTTTCCAATCGATCAATGCCTTAGAGCTAAAAGAAGATGGCACAATTGCAGAACATCCTCTGAGCTGTTTCCATAGGGTACAGCCCTAACTATGTCCTGATCCAACATGGATTCAGTGCTGGTGATTTCAGGTGCTGCTTCTTTGGGCAGGACTTCAGGTCTCACATCCATGCTCACGCAGAAAGTGTCAGGAGAGATGTAGTGAGTATGGGTGCTCAGCCATCTGCTTTGTGTTTCCTCTAAGTGCAGGGTGCTCAAAGCACATCAATCCTTTTTTAACTGGGTCTTCTCAAGTGAACGTTACACCTGTGACCACACGTGCTTCAAACTACAACGCTGTCCAATTACAATAGTGATCCCCCTTTGCCTGCAACTAGTTTGCTTCTAGCTCACGGGTAAACTTCTGAACCCTACTTTCTTGTTTGCAAGGTAATTAATGTTGGCAAAATTGGCAAAGTCTGGTCTGAAAGATTAAATGGATTTCTCAGGGCTAGAGTTTTGTCCTAGTTATGTCTGTTGAGAGTTGTATATGTGAAGAAAAAAAAGGTATATAACGTTTGGTGTAGGAGAATACCTTCTCAGTGTACCTGTGCAGGGTCAGTCTGTTCCACGGGTGTGCTTTGCCAAACCCCACCGACACCCTGAGGCCGCTTTTGCTGCTTACCTCTGTGACTCTGACCAGGAGCCATTTTAACTGTCAATGGAATTTCTGTTGTGAAGAGGTCCATGCTAATCTGATTGCTGTACTACAACTTGTCCGCTGCTTCTAGAAAGGTCTTCTTTTTCTTTTACAGTTGCAGCATTTGCACAAAGAAACAGAACAGACATTTCATTGTCCCAGCGTCGCGTTTCAAGCTGCTGAAGGTAGAGTAAGAATGCAGTAAGAGCAGTATAATCCAGTGTTATCCTCAAAGATGCAAGTGGCAGCCAGTTTTCTATCCTCAATGTGCCTGTTAGGGGAAATGGCTGTATTTTATGCCATTTGGTGTGGGTGTGTTAGTGCATCTTACTTAGCAAGCTGACATTAGAGCTCTTGGAGTTCTCAGGCTTGACTGTTATGGACACGTGTATATACAAAGCACAGGGGTCCAGAAAAGGAGCATGAATGCAGAACTCTCTCAAGTAAAAACATGAAGTTGGTATTTTAAATTTTACAGTTCTTAGCTACAGGCCCATAGAAAGTAATGAATACATCTGTTTATGTGGAAAACTTGTATTGCTTTTCATTTGCCTAGGGTGCTGATAATTTGACAACATACACCTTCAACACACACCGTGCCCAGCACACATTCTGCAAGACCTGTGGTGTACAGAGCTTTTATACTCCTCGTTCTAATCCAGATGGTTATGGTAGGTAGAAAGAGTGAGCTGTGGTAACCAAAGTTAACCAGCAAGCAAACCTTGGATAAAGACTCCATTGGATGCTAACGTGACAGCAGTGAGCAGCAGGTGTCTTAATGAGTTTGCTCCTATCGTGCTAAACATCTGGAATTGCAGTGTAAACCTGTAGCTCCTGCATAAGAAAGAGTCTTACCTGTGATGTGTGGGCTTTTGTCCATGCCAGGCTTCTCCCCTAGGCTCCCCAGCCTCACAGCAATAGCTGGACTGAGCATTTGCCTTTCCCTGAGAATGCCCCATCCACAGCGTGGTGCAGGCATCTCCCACACTTTATCTGTGACAAGCAGGTTTCTGTGTGCTCTGTCTTTCTCCAGGAATAGCTCCCCATTGTCTGGATGATGGCACAGTGCAGACCATTGTCGCAGAGGATATCAATGGCAAGGAGTGGGAGAAGGCAGTGAAGGAACACAAGACCATCAGAGACATGTCAAAACCCTGAGACACCCTTCCAGCAGCGGAACTTGGAGCACTGCTGTGGAACTGTAGTCTGGGCTTTCCTGGGTGAGGGTTGGTAAAATCAACCTCTACATTATTGTTACTTTTTCGCTGTTTCTTAAATAAATCTTTCTATGCTGCCTGTCCCATTCATTTGTGACTTTCAGTTTTCAAACTACCTCTGTTCCATAAACCACCCCAGGGCTGCTATTTTGGTACTTTGCCCTCAGCTGTGCTAATGTTTAAATCACAATAAACAGAGCAAAGTACCAAAAAACCTCTAATCTTTGCTTGTATGGGTATTTCCTGTGTTTCAAGTCTGGCATATAAAAATGTCCTATATAAGATCATCTCTTGCTTAGGACTAACTTAGCACTGTTTCTTCTCCACTGACTTCAATAAATTGACCATGGATTTAAAGTTGAAGGGGATTTGAAAAAGCTTAGCAGGCTCAAGTTCGGTAAAGCATTTACACAGGTGCTTAAAGAGAGGGGTCACCAAAGTTGTTCATGTGATTAAGTACTGTTTTGCTTAGGCCTGGACTTACTCATGGTCTTAAGGCTGAGTAGGCATATGCTTAGGCACTGACTCATGACCAGGGAACAGAGTTCAACACTCTCATACTCTTATGTACTTCAGTATAACCAGGAACTCGTTTGCTGTCTTTGGGAGGGGGATGTGCTCTGAGCAACAGACCAGGATCTGGCAATTTGGGCTCTGATCTTGACCGTGCAATGACTAGTGGTGTAAATCCAGGAAAGATGCCTCCGGTAGATGTGAGCCCACAGGAATGGGTGCAGAAACACTGAGTATTGCTGACTTTGCTCCACCGTGACCCCACAGAAACCCAAATCACTAGTAAAATCTCGGTATAGGCTAAGAAATGAAAGCACTGAAAGCTGCTTCACTTACCTTTTAACATTAAGGAAGAGGATAACTCCTGCCCTAGTCTTTTACATAAGTGGAACAGCTTTTGAAACATCTCTGGCAATTTTTATCTCTGGATGTGTTTTATAAAAGACCTAGTTACAGTCTGGGTCTTTTGCACCTCATTCTTACATCCTGTTGAGACTCTTGTAAGTTGATCTTAAGCCCCAAGTTCTGAAGCAAGAAGAAATGCTCATGTTTCATGAGGGACACTCTGCGAAGGTGGAGCCTCCAATGCAATGTGTATGAAAGAAGCAGCAGTAGCAGCAAAGATCAGTGCAATTAGAGAAATTTGTATGATATCTGATGGTTTATTCATAACCTTTGTTTTTTTAAAGTTCTGACTGAATAAGACAAGTCTTGTGGATCTGGTTCTATCTGTGGAGAAAGCATGATCTTTAAAAAGTTACTCCTGATATCTGGATTTTACAAAAGCACCAAGAGATACTAGCCAAGCAGTCCTCACAGCTACCTCCTCTTGGGGAAAAACAGTTTGTGCCGTTATCTTCTCTAATGCAGAATACTCCTGCATTTGACTCCTAATTAGGTTAATCCACATTTCTTGTTCTATTTAAGCTTCTACAGTGAGAAGATAGAGCAGCTGTTAAAACCTGTTCATCTCACTGTATCAGGCAACAAGATATTTAGAAGGAAGTTCACACAGTCTGTTTTTTGTAGTCTGAAAGAATGTTACACAAAGAGACTCCTGTCTTCTTGAGCACGTAACAGGTGAGTTTTCTTTAGTCCTGGGCCTGCACAGTCTTTTACTCCTCAGGTTGTAAGCGACATCTTTTACAGAAGGCGGAGTGAATTGATCACCATATAACGTGAGAAAAGCATGTAGATGTGGCGAAACCAGAGGAGCTGGCTGCGATGACACCGCATGGCTCTCTAGAAGGAAAAATAGTTGAGAAAGCATTACAAGAACCTTCCAGACCGAATGTGAGGGCAGTTTCCTAGGCCTCCTGTAAGGTTCACCGCAAATTTACAGGACAGCCTGTTTTCAGTGAGCAGGGAAGAAGTAGTGGGAGGTGGAAGGCTGCCTATTCTATGGGGTCAAAGGGCAGGGAGAGGCCTGTCTGCCCCTATGCTGCTGGTGTTGTGCTGCCTACTGTTCAGAGGGGTCCTGCTAGGAAGGACATTAGCAGCTGCAGATTGGTACTGTGACAGTTTCTTTGTCACGTATAACTCCTCCTCCCTATGTGATCTCACACCTGGGTGTTCACATGCTGGGGAAGCAGAAACCTGAGAGATGTGCATCTGAGAACACTCTGCATGCTGCTTCCGATCATGCATTGCCAGCCGAAACTTAATCTATTTATAGTGCACCAGCTTAGAAAGGTCAGATTTCAGAAACAAAAGCCACAAGGGAATAACACCACCTTTATCAAAGCAGTTTCTATACGTAACTATCTTTTAGCAGCCTCAAAAGCAGGAAAATTCTGTAATTTGTGGATTAACAGGACTGTTTGCTGGGCAAATATTTTCATGCTATGGAAGGCAAGCTAATCAGATTCTGACATAGAGAACTACGGACTAACTGTGTGAGATCTCATGCAGCAAAATAGTTGAAAAAATACAAAGTAGAGAAGTAAACTTGCAAAGAGATTTGGACCACAAGTTCACAAGCTGTGTCTATTTTCAGTTAGAGCTATGATCCAAAGATGCTGTTCCTGGCACGCAGTCATGGCCATGTTCAGAATATTATGTTGGATCCAGTCTCCTTTGAAATATAGCCTGGACACAGTATAAAACTCAGTGCAATGTCACTACTGAAGATCTTTGAGCTGCAAATCTGCTCAGCCCTGTCCTGCTATCCACACAGCACATGAATCAACCTGTCTTGTCCATTTATGTTTTACAAATCACTGAAGATTGTCCATTAGTGACATCTGTAATCCACACGTGTAATTATTTATGAAGTTCTCTGTGAATATGACACCTCTGACTAAAGTCTTCACAATGATGACGAGCTATTCAAACAGGTTAAGCAGGTACCACGCATCTCACCCTGGCTTGTGCAGTCTCCTCCTCTGTGAGTATGAAGAGAGCATCTCTGGGCAGGAGGCAGGAAATGGGGACATCCAGGATGGAGATGTACTTCCGGAAGAGATTTACTGATTCAAGCACGAGCACGTGGCACCCTAGGCAGAGAAATAGGATAAATATTTCAAAACAACAGTATTCTTGTAAGGTGCCCATCTCTCCAGGCTCAGCAGGTCTTTGCAGGCTCCCCTGTATTGCTGGCCACAGGGGATCCTTTTTGTGCAAAAGGGGAGCAACTTCTACTCATGCTTCCACCAGGATCTCTTTGTGCCCAGTGCATGTCTATGACTGCTTGTACTGGTTCTTGTTCTGTATGTGGTCTGTGGAAAGCAAAGCTAGCGCGGAATGTCAGAGGATTTGGTGGGTAATTTTGCTTACAATTAAAATTATTCCTATGTAGTTAGACTCAAAGGAAAAAGCACAGATGGCTTTCTGAATGCTGGCACTGTATCATATAATGGAAATTTAAAACAGCAGTCTCTGGTTCAGCTACAAAAATGAAATTTCCTCTTTCTACTCCAATTCTTAGCTACAGAAAAAAATATTTACAAGTTTCAGGAATGGCTGTATCAAATATTAACTCAGGCAGGCAGTTACACTTCAACAGAGTTCCAGAATTCATTGTTCAGATGTTTGCGATGAAGCAGATGAAGGTAACACGTATAGACATTCTACTGGGCTGAATTTCTTTTTTGTTTTAAAGAGCCCCTTGAACTCAAAAGTTAATTGCTATTTTTTTTGCCATGGCTAAATTGTCTTCACTGATGAGCTCAGAGCTACTGATGGTCTCATTAAGAGCCTGTAGGTCTCAAGGGAGCTGCTTTGGGATTTCTTAGGGCTTGGAAGCTGCTGTGATTATGCTCCACACTTCAGACATTGTATGAAAGTTCGACAGAAGAGGCCAAAGTCACAGTTTACACAGGTGGTCAGATAGGCAATTAGATTTGCAATAAGATTTTCTTCAGAGTGCCTTTAAACAGTGAAATTATACAAAGGAGACAAAGAACAATGCTGAATTGCTACAAAGGCTGCTTAACAGACCAGTTTAGTGCGTGAAGCCTGTGCTCACATCTCATACTGCTTAAACTGTTATGTCCTGAGCACAAAGTGAACTGGTGTGTTCAAATACCTCTTGGCCCGAAAATGTAGGCAGGACTTGTGTCCTCCTAAGGAAAAAGATTCTCCAGGATAGGGGCAGAAGCAAGCATCTTTTCCACAAAGTGCGTTTCTGTGTAAGAAATGATGATTCCTCTCTAGGAGCCCTCTATGCAGATCTGCTAGTGCTCAGGAGTCTCATCCCACAAGGACCTGAGCAGTCAGCTTGCTGCTAGCTTCCCTGCTTTGGACATCTGGTAGATCCTTCAGTCTAGCCTCTATCAAGTATGAGATAGGAAAGCAAAACTTGTTGCTCTTACGGTGAATGAATTTCCTGGAGACACAAGGGAAGAAGCCCCCACAGCCTCCAAGGTCAGAGCATGGTACTCAGAGACACCCCACCAGCACCTTTTCAATCCCAGCCAGGGGGCTGTGACACGCTGAACCCAGGAACAAGCAGCATGAACAGGACGATCCTCCTTCCACAAATCCCCTCACAAATGATTTGTGTCCCCTGCCTCTTCCCAGTGATGCTAACTCATTTCACTGCAAAGAAAGGTCTTGCTTTTACTCCGGCCAAAGCCTGCAATGGCAGGACACAGCACCCCTGATGGACTCCCTCCAGCACATTTCCAGAATCTTTCAATTCATTTCTTTCTTCTCTCCCCTTCAAGAGAAGGATGTACAATTTGTTCCAACTTGTCAATAGCTGTTTCCACTCTCAATAGCAAAACTGGTAACTCTCTATTTCAGTATCACAGAGGCCTCCAGGACCATGCTCCCCTTCCAGTTCTCTTTCTGCATTGATCCTGGGACAGGACTCCCCAGCAGGGTGGACGGAGCATTCAAAGGAGCTATTTTCTCCTGCTGTGGGCAGCAATGGGCAGGGTTAGAGGCCTCAAGGGAAATCACCGGCACTTCCATCCAGCCTGACACGAGTCTGTGCTGTGCCAGGAACCGGAGGAAAAGCCCCCCTGAAAGTGATGGCCATTCTCTGCAGGCCCGGCCTGCCAGGAGCTGCCGGGAGATGGCGGTGTCTGCCAGCTGCGCAGCGAGCCGGGACCCCCAGCCCTTCCCTGCCGGCCCTGCCTCGCCCAGGCCGCCCAGCTTAGAATCAATTTTGGCAGCGCTCTGCCTTGAAGGCCCTCCCGTCTTACCTATGTCAGGGCCATGTCCCTGCTCCCGTCCTACCGCAGCCTCAGCCATCCAACCCTCGCAAGGTCATCGTGCCCGTCCCCGCAGAGCAGCAGCTGGGTGATGCCATCTGGAAGGACCGATGGCTCTGCCAAGCTCCCTGCAGGGAGTCCCTTGGACCTGCGGGAATGCGGGCAGCTGGGTGACCAGCATGGCCTGTGCAACTTCCCGACTGCGAGCCGTCTCGTGGGCCACCTTGGCAAGTGTCAGACAGAGCAGTTGCAGTTTAGCTGCTCCTGGAAAGGATGCTCTGCAGTGACAAGTGTTGCAGTTGCACAGAGAAATGCCCTGACAGTTCTTTTACTCCCACTAAAGAAATTTTTTGTTTCCAAGTAGCCAATTTAGAAATAAACCTGTGATATGCCATGGGTAGGGGAACCCCTCTTCCCCCCATTCTCTGCAGAGGTCCTCTGGGCTGCTCAGCAGGCCCAGTCTGTTTGTTGGCAGGTAGTTTCAGAGAAAAGAATTAGTACAGTACTGCACTGTGGCACAGCAGAGGAAAGGAATAGATATGGATCCCCTTGCTTTTGTAGGCAGAATTCCCACTGGCCACCTCCTTGCTTTTCAGTGCTTACCGGGGAGGACAGGGCTAAAGCAAACATGGAGCAAAGGGTCTTTCCTTTCCTGGGTGGCTGTTAATGAACCCTGGCAATGCCACCTGCATTCCCACTTGCAGTGATGGGAAGAGAGAGAATGTAGGGTTGTCCACCACCGATCTCTGAAGCCTGGACTGCTCTGTTAACAAAATGCACTCTCCCTTTCCTCATATTTTTTTCCCTAAGAAATAGTAATCCATGCAACAATTACACCCTTTTGTTCCCCAAAGCTTAGCAATAAGGGCTCAGAGCAACTGCAAGTGCTGAGCAACTACTGATCAGTCCGACCTCCTGGGCCCCCATCGGTCAGATCAGGCAAGGCAATGGCATTGAAGCCTCACGAAATGAAGGGCACTGTAAGAGTCTGCTGTGTTAGTGATATGACAAGGATCTCCACATGCTGACAGCAAAGGCTGCTCCGCACGGGAATGTGAGATGAAATGAAGCAGGGAAGGAATGTACAGTCCAGAGAGAGATGGAAAAGGGTTCAGAGAAACAGGCTGCTCCCTGCCAAGCAGGCTAAGAGAAGTGCTGCCATTGATGACTCTACGCCTGTGACACCAGCAGGTGAAGCTTTTCAGAGCCTGTTGTGACTGTGACCTGGGCAGGATGGGATTAACAGTGTAATACAACCTCTCTAGGTTGGCAGAAAGGGCAAGATCAATATAGCTAGTGGATTAGGCCTAGAATAGAAGTGCATGAAGCCTGCAGCCTGTTCAGTGTGGCTTTCTACTTCCAAATCATTTATGCAGCAAATATGCCTAGAATGAGATTATTAGCAGATCTATGTGTGCTAAAGGCTTGCACTGCTCCTCACAGACAGCACACCAATTCTTTTGGAAGACCAGTGGTTATAGCTGGATGGGGCCACTAGTAGGGGTGGATGCATACCCAGCAGCTGTGTTGGCTTCTTCAAACAAGCCTATGTGCTTGTGCCTGGGCTGGAGAACTTGATTACAGATTATAAAAAGACTGTTGTGTTTATGCTGGCTAAAGGCATTAGAAAGCAAAGCAGGATATTTAGGGTGCTCATTTGTATATCACTGAGGCAATGCAAGGCTTAGCCGGCTTTTGCATTTGCAGAGAGATTTTCTGTGGATTCCCTGATCATGGGCTTATACAGGTTCACCCACAAATAGTTCCCTCTTAACAACAGGAGAGCAGCACATTTCCATGGCCCGAACATGCCTTTCAGCTCTATCCAGATAGCCTCAATCCCAGCATCGCTCTTGTTTCATTAAGCCCCTCTGATGCACAGCCCTGCACGCCTGCCAGATCAAATTATAAATACTGGGAATTTCAATGAGACTGGAACTATATTTGGAAAGGCTTAGCGTAAGCAGCAGCATGGGAGCTCCCCGTTCCTTTGGTGTTTGTAGGTCATGTCAGATGTGATGTAATCAGAGCAGCAAGGCTTTCACATAGCTTCAGGAGGATCTTAATGCTGCTAGAGAAATGGAAAAGTTGTCTATATGTGGGTCTGTTTCAAACCTGAACCAATTTGAGGCACGGCCCATATCCAGGACCATAGTGTAGCCAACAAACCTGCATGAACAGCACATGAAGGTGGTTCAGTCTAGACAAGACCTGACATCTAGCAGTGACATCTACCACTGCAGTTCCTTGTTCTCTCTCTGTACTGCACACAGCACACACAGAGCTCTTTGCTGCATCCCAACGCTGAACAAAGAAAAGGTCCTAGGAAAGAAGTTGGCATTAACAGTCCTCTTTCATAGATGGAGGAATTGAAGGGACTAGAGTCCAAACTCACTTAAAGGGCATTTTTCCATCTTGGCTCATGCTCTCTCCATCAGATTTTGGTCTGCAACTTGCTGCTAGCAGGGAATTAAAACTGATTTGCTGTGACACATTCATATCCTACAATGATTCAGGAATTAGCATTAAAGAAACAAAGTCCAGATGACTGCTGCAGGAGCAGAAGGTGGACTGGGTGGGCCTGGTGGAGCCACCTTCCTATAGCCAAACAGCTGATAGCTTTGTGCTTAAACTAATTCTACAAATTTGTCCCTGAGTCAGGCACTGTTTGCTAGAGATAAGAGCTGCAGATCTGCTCTGGGACAGCAGCTAGAAAAGGGGGTCAGCAGCAACCTGCTTCTGTACTTTGTTTCTTTCTTTTCCCTACTTGTACAGAGAGTTTCTCAGAGATACTTGCTCATTTACAAGTGAAAAGACACTCTAACGATTTGTGCCAGTGCAGATTTCAGATACCTTTCCCATACTGACTCCATTTTGATGGAAGCTTAGCTTGGTACATGCAACCGTTTTTGGCTGAGCTGGCAATGGTTTCTGAGGCCCTTGTCACAGGGGAAAAAAAAAACAACAACAAAAAAAAACCCAACTCAAAGGGCTTACAAAAAAGGGCTTATAAGTAAGATGTGACCAAAAACTCTGGGACCAAGCTGAGAGACCTGGAAATAGCACTCATTCATGCAAGACAGCAAGAAGCATAGGCCAGACACTGAATCACACCACCAAGACAGAACAACCCCAAAGGACAGTAGAGAAGCCTGAGCTGGTAAAAAACTGCAGGGAGATAAAAGGGCAAAGAAGAGTTCAGCTGCAGGTTTCATTTGCATTGCAAATAGAGGCAAGTCAGGCAGATGAAACCCTGGACTGAACATTCATGTAAATGATTGCCTAATGCCCGCAGGGTCATGGGTGCCTAATGTGACATACCTTCAGGTAACTTCTGCTCTGAATGCAGGTACCTGTAAATGAAGAGAAACATGGAGGTAAACACTTAATGAAGTTATTCAAACCCTGATTTCACGAGTATGAACTCCGTATGCTAAATCAACCCTTTTCTCTTAATACACACACAAATTTAAAAGGGCTTATCTTAGAAGAAAGTTCAGGAGCCAACACTGGACGCACATGTCAGGCAGTGGAAAGCCTCGTTCCCCACACAATTCTGCCATTACCTTCCTCATCCTGGCTGCTGGGACACAGCACAAATAAGCTCCATAAATCCAACTCAGTCTCAAACTTCTCATGTTGCACTAAGGGAAACTGCAAGAGGCTACCAAAGGCTATTCACCTCTGAGAGCACTGGCTCATTAATGCCTTGTGTCTGCTGACCAGGGACATTGCCTCAGATGAAGCTCCTGTTTGGGGACCAGCCTCTTTCTTTCTAACCCATGCTGGCACCGAGACATCTGAGAAGCTGCTCTGACTTTTTGCTCACTAAGAACTTTGATCCCTTGAAGACTTTGCTCTGGGAAGTCTCTGTAGCAAAAATGCATCCCTTGGAAACAGAATGAGGGGACCAGCGCGGGAGATGTGAACAGCGATGGTACTTCCATCCAGAAGTGTAAGCAAATCCTGAAATGGTGAAGGCTTCAGAGGGTATGAGCTTCAATTCCTTTTTAATTCTCTTGTTTCTCCTGCTCTAGCCTGTGGTTCATGGCTTCAGAGAACTTATGCTCACATCACTATTTGCATCACCTCCAGATTTGGCCCATCGCAGGGATGGAGGAAGCAGGTCTCCAGCAGATGGCACTCAGAGCTGTCCCACACCCCGGCTTGCTCTTCCATAGGGAAAAAAAAAAATCCAAACAATGGAACATTTGCCAAAAGGAGAAAGGAAATTAAAAAAAAAAAAAAAAAGAAGTTATTTAACCCTGTGTAATATTTAAAGAGATTGTTATCATCTTGTAGTGGTGTATTTAACAAAGGACAATGTGACAGTTCATGTGTAAATCAACCAGGATAAAACATACATTATATGTAAACTGTTATGTTTCTCCAGTCACTTTCAAACTAGGATTATCTCTGGCTATTGGTTAAGTTCAAGGAAAAGGATTAGCTACACAGGCATAGACAAAATAGGAAGCACGGAGTAATGAATACCCAAAGCAATTCAAAGCAAAAGTCAAGCCAGAAATGCAGGTCATGGCAGAACTCAAACAGCACTCCGAAGACATATGCCTTACACAGATTCTCCTGCCAATGGTCTCCTCTCCTCCAGAGCCACAGATCTGCAAGCAATACCATTTTCTACTAAACAATGGGCTTGTAATACTGACTTGGCCACCTTCTGCACCACTGCTCAAGTCCTACTGTTCTGACAAGGATTGCTAAATGTTGCCTTGTAAACATTACCAGCAATTTTTTGGTGGTGGGTGGGGGGTGGCAGGAAGGTTTACATATCTCCATTAATATCTGCTCTGCTCTTCTGCCAGAGGTTTCTTCCCCCCCAACTAGAATCTGGCCACCCAAAGAAGTGATTCAGCACTTGGTAAAGCTAGCAGGGTGAGAACTTTTTAAAACAAGATTTGAGAGATAAAGCAGTGAGTGGTTGCGAAATTTGGCTAACTATCCAAAGTCCTAGTGTCTGCTCTAGGTGTGCTGTTCTGCCGTAGAGGGACCTTCAAAGCCCTAACTGACAGCAAATTAAAGGATGTGAAGAGCTGCTCCAAGAGTGAATTAATAATAACCATTCCTGGCACAAGAAATAGAAAGGGGAGATCCAGTTCATATGGAAACATTTCAGCAGGAGCAGAGAGCATCTTCATCAGGGAAAGAAAATTTGATTCAGCAGCAAATTATGGAGTTTGTGCTTGTATAAAGGTTCAAGGAGACACAAACTATATTTTGGTTACTGAAAGGTCCTCAAGGCTGCTGCCAGGCAGACCTGACACTGATCTGGAAGAACAGGCATGAAGAAACTGATTCTCTCCACATCCTTTTTGTCCTGAGCCAAATGCTTCAGTACTCAGCAAGGCTCAGCGCAGAGCTATGGGAACGGGCTCCACCCAGCTGTAATGCTGCAGAGGAATTGCAGCCTCGCTCGTTTGTATTTCTCAGGCAAGAGATGGCAATGAACTGTGGCTGCAGAGAAAGAAAGAAGCACAAAACTCTACCTCCTGCACACGTTCATAAAACCAACCAATCCTTTTACAAATCAATCTTCTTGTTCCCATCTCCACCCTGCTGGAGCTGTCTCTGTGGGACACTTCCAAGTAGGGGAGAGGTTGCAGCTCTCTGTTGTTGCCATTTTGGGAATGTTGTTTTATAGATTAGACTTGCTGTGGTTTGGGTGAAATGAAAGAGTTTGGCATAAAATCTCAAAAAGTGAGACACAAACAGGCTCTTTTTCTGGAGCTTTATCCACGTGTTTTTTTCCAGAGAGACTTTTAAAAAATTTTTTTTAAACACAAAGTGATCTAAAGTGGCTTGTTCCCACTCACCCACCAAGTGCCAGAGGCCAGCTAATTACAGCACACCTCTCACTGAACCCTCTTCATTATGCCTGGGGTAGGTTCAGATCCACATGTGAAGGACAGCGAGACCCTCTGCAGTGAAGAACTTCATAAGGCTGTGAAATGTCTGATAGACACCCCACCATTTCTGCACACTGCAAGGACTCGGCACTGGCTCCTCAAGGACCAGCTGCTTTGAAAGCTATTGCTGTCTGTAGCTACCAGCTACATCTGCTCAGCAGAAAATTGAAATGGTCCAACAACCCTCATCCTGCAAACTGCAGGACTGAGCTAGCTCCCAAATTCCCTGCCTTTATTCAGTCATCCTCACGGAAAGATGTCAGCAAAGTGAGTGGGCTAGCTCCTAAGAGGCACTGACCACTGATGCCTGCATGATGGCAAGAAGGAACAAGTCAAGATGGAGCTGAAACCTTGGTCCTGGGAACACAGAACTCCTCTGGGGTAGAAGCAGGACTGATGCCCTGGTGAGTGGATTACTGTTTTGGTGATGTTCTATTTGATGAGAAATTGTTCACTGAAATCAATTACTTCACTTTCCGAATAGTTTCCCATGCCAAAGGCAAAACCCTTCACTGAACTGACTGTGCTGGCTGCCGGGGAGCACTGGGGAAATACAATTTTGAAGAGCATGGCAAAGAATGGATGTCTTAAAGATGCGTTGGGGCTCCATTCAGGATCCTAACCTCCAATCCGCCCAATTAATCTGATGAAACAGATGTGAAGGAGGAAGAACAGCCAGTCTCCTAGGAATTACAGAGACATTAGAAGGATATGCTTGCCAGATGTTGAATGTTTGCTATCTGGAATGCCTCCTCCTTCCCTAACCGGACTTTCTGGCTCCATTTCCATGCACCCTGAACTACACCATGTAGCAGCATGCAAGTTTGTAAAACACTATTCAGGCACTCTGTTACTCACATGTATTGCAGTGGCAAAAGATGGTTCTGCCAGTCAGAAAAAAAAGGTGTGGATTCAGAGATCTGCCAGTTGACAGAGCTGCTCTGTGGCTCTGTGCTTTGGTCCATGCACTGTCTGGGAGAAGAATGTGCAGTGTCACTGCTCCACTCACGCTGCTAGCAGCCTAGTGACGTTGAGAAGGACATTCCTTGTGGCTGTTTCTTCGAAAGAAAAATTTCTTTAGGGGGGAAATCCCTGCAATGCTGGTGCCCTGTGCTCAACTTTACCCTAACAGCTCTCAATAGTATTACGGAAGGGCACTGAGATGAATGAACTTAGTCAAATTAAGGAAGGAGGGAGCAGGGGTGAAGGATGAGATAAAATCTAGGGCAACATACCCAGCTATGGAATATATGCCAGGCATGGGGCAGAGTCCTCTGAGCGGAAGGGACAGAGTCTCAAAGGGTAAACGGAGGAGCACAACTCTGTCTTGACCTTATAGGGGTGGTCTGGGTGCAATCGCAGCCACCACTCATAAGCTCCCCCTGGGACATTTAAGATTTGTAAATAAAACACCACAAGTGAGCTGGACTGCGAATGGACAGGCTGAAATGTAAGATACTGGAACCTGCTACTTCTTCAACACTCTTCTTTATTTTGCAGGGAACCTAGAACTCCCAACAGGGGCTAAACAATCGCAAATGAACACATCAGTGACACAGGAAATCCCTTTCCAAGATAGGGCAAATAATAACCAGTTTTGAAAAAAATAATTTTCTGGGAAAAGGTAAGGGAAATACAAAACAGCACCCTGCTTTAAAAACCTAAATGAGACGCCACTCATTTGACATGCAGGGGCTACAGCTGCTGAGAGATCAGAGTCCCCTTCTAGCCCCACGCTGTAAGACATCAAATAAAAATGGCAGACAGGGTACCATGCACTATCATCAAGCTAATCACCCAAAAAACAGCTTCTTCCTGCTCAACACGTCCTTAAAGACCTGGCCTTGGAAATTCAATACAAGCAGGACTGTGCTTTGTTGGAATGTAATGCAGTTGGTGGCTTTTGAGAACTGTACCCACTGAGTCTGTGGGATTTGGCTGGACAATGCACTGTTCATTGTTTCGATATACTTATTTAAAACTGGCATTTAATCAATCCTCCTCTTTCAGGGAGCCTCAGTGCAACCATTCTGCACAATGCTGTGTCCCATGGCATTCATAAACGGGGCATTCAACAGTCAGACTGTGGCATGTAAGTGCAACAAGGCATCAGTAGCACTCAAGCTGCATCATAATCAACTCAGAAATGATAAAGCACTAAGCTCCCAAATATTACCTCTGCACAGTCTCATTTACAACCTACCACTGAGTTGGAGAATGTTAAGAAACATCCTGCAGGACTGAGAGGTGTTTTTCCAAATGGAATTGACGAGAATAGGCTCAGCTAATGATTCTTTGATGTAGCTTTTTATATGGCATCATTGATATAAGTTTTATGGATGCAGTTGCTATAACAACATAATGCACAGTGGTTAAATATAGCAGTTCCTATTTTCCACTCAGTTTGCTCTGCCCTAAGCAGACAAGGACTATTCTCTTCTGTTCTAGCTGAGATGAAATGGATTTGATAGCTCACTGAAGAAGTGGTACAGTCCTTCCTCCCCTTCACAAAGACCATTCCTCTCCATCCTATGCAAGCAAGCAAACACCAAAACCAACAGCCACCCATTTGCTAGGCTGGTGGGCAAGAGGGCTTCTTTAAAATCGAAATGCACAATGACTCATGCAAAAGTAAACCACCTCGATATTACACGTGATCTCAGTGCAAACACTGTCATTTCAAAGTGCAGGAAAGAGAGGTTCTCAAATATTCCAGTCACGTAGTATTTACCATGGTTATTACTGTAGTGCCTAGTGACTGGCCAAATGCTGAGAGGAGAATAAAGTGACCTTCATGTCACTCAAGACCTGCCCTTCCTTGTGGACATGTGTAAAGGATCCAGCCTCTCTTGGCCACAGGGAAAGCTCCTATTTTGGGGGATAATAAAGGATGATGTTGCCAAAACAAGGTGATGGGGAAAGAAGCAGAGTTACAGAGGATTGCTTCCAAGTCTCCCTTCTTTGCTACAGAGGGATTTTCTTGGGTTTGGGTTGTTGGTTTGTTTTTTTTTTTTCTGTCTGGAAGCCAGAACTGAAATACTCCCAGGGGAGACTGAAATCAAATAGCAATTTGTTTTCCTCTCCCATCCTGTTTTTTCTTATTTTTCCCTTGCAGAAGAACAAATCCACCCTCAAACCTTGGCATTTCACAGTTCCTCCCAGATCTGAAGCCTAGACACACAGCAGCAGCTGGACTCCCTGCAAGCTGTCTGGAGGAAGGTTGCTACAAGGGGAAGGGCACATTTCTTCTGAATAGTTCCTACTCCATTGTGGAACATAACCTCTGTTCCAGACACTAGAAAGAATATTTATGTCCTTAGCAGATAATACTGAACATCTACTTGAAGCTGTCCAGTCATTTGCACCTTCTGAAGCAGGGAGTTGTGGGACGGGTCACACAGACTGCTCTACCCCTGCTCTTGCAGAAAGTAATCTTAGGCAGTGGCCTATCTCCCACAGACTAGAAGCACCCAGAAGAGTTGAGATCACTGCACCAGCCCTCTGCTTCACCCTTTCCACTGACAGCCACAGTGGAGGCAGAACCCTGCAGACCTTGTTTAAAGATGGTTAATAAATACATGGCACATGATACCTGGAGGGGAGAGTGCATTTGCCTTTTTCTTGCCACGTAGCACAGGGGCCTCAGGGGCAGCAACCGCTGCTTTGCAAAGCCCTGCTGGCAGGGAGGTACATGAGAAGCCTCAGCATATGCTCCCAGCGCTGCCTGTACTAGCCAATATGTGAGAACTCATCAGGGCACTGAAAATCAGGAGTGATACAGTCACGCTCTACTTCCTCCACAACACAAACTGAAAAATAATGAGGGCAAGCAAGCCGCTAAAAATATACTTAACCTTTCAGTGGCCACAACATCACTCCTGCCACATGCAGATGACTGGGCCACCATGCTTATTTCTGCTGATTCAGGACTGGAAACGAGACAAGACAAAAACCAGCCCTTAGTTAATTAGAGATGTTTATACTCTGGTGTCCCTATCAGCATGTATCTCATCAGCCCAGGACAATGTTCTGCTGTAGGCTAAGGACTAAGGCAAAAGTCTGAGTTCAAGGGGCTGCTTCCTAGTAACATATTCTGAGACAAGAAGAGAGTTAACACCCCCACTGCACACACAGGAAACCTAAAGCACGAAGGTGGGAAAGTTGTTTCTGCATAGCTACAAAGTGCAACAACAGTAGAACTGGGATCAAAACTGAGAGTTTTCCTTAACTTTCTCACACATAATTCAGCTGTTACCTTGTTTTCACTGTATCTCTTCAGGGTATAGGGGAACACCCAACAATCTGCCCTCCATTCCTATCTGCAGGCCGTGCAGCAACTGACTGAGCAGAGGTCCAGGCAGCTGCAAGCTCTCTAGTCCCTCTGTGCCAATGGTGTGAGCATCGGTCATCAACCTCTGTTTCTCACTCACTCCTCAAATAACACTGTGCCAGAAAGCATCTCCCTGCTTAGCCCAAACAAACACACTGTTTGCTTTAACTCCACCCCTTTCCTTCTGTTAGGCTATTTCAGAAGTTGCTGGGAAAAGCCATGATCCCCTCTAAGAGTGAATTCCAGCCGTCAGATAGCATCAAAGACTTTCAGCATCTTCCCAGAGGAGCTCAGTAGGTCACAGCATGGGTTCTGTGGCACTGCAGCTTTCTCTAGGCAAGTGAGAAAGGCAAATCACTATGATGTTGTTAGCAAGGAGAGCCAGACAGTTATTTGAATTGCACAGACAATTCAGGAAACAAATGGGTGCTAAAAATACAAGGTATACTTGCAAAGAGTTCTTCTTATGCCTGGGAAACGCAGGGGCAACTCTGGAGGAAATCTCTCTAAGGACACAACGAGGTCTGAACGTGCAGGTTAAAATAAAACAGTAGCTGTCTTGCCAGCAAAATATGGGTGATTTTAATACAAGGAAATTTTGTCTAACAACCTTCCCACATCACAGCACAGAGACAGAGGTTCTCAGAATGTAAAGAACAAAGCGGTGAAGGAATGAATTGACTTAGGAAGAATGGTAAATAGGGACAGCTCCAGTGAAAGAGCAACGTCCTTGGGTCAGAGAGGTAAATTCACATACCTGGACAGGATGACAACATCCTCTGGAACAATGGTGCAAAACTTTCCAAAATCCAACTACCACCAGCTCAGGTATCAGCTATTCACAGACTCTCCTCAAACCAGAAGTGCAAAGTGACCTGTGGCATACTTTACTGGGATCAAGGACAGGAAGAGCAAAGAGGGCCCAGTGAAAGGGAGGCTGGCAAAGCACCAGCAGACAGAATAATAAAGGATGCTGTAGGCCATTTACAGAGCTGTGAGAGTTTCTCCAAACAGTATCATGTCCCACAGCCTGGCTCTCAGTTATATCAGTGAAGCTAATACTATTTTTGGCTGTAGCTAGGCTTAGTTTTCTGCTTACACACAAACACCACATTCACTCTGTAACACTATAGTGAGGCATTCAATGAAGTGTGTAGAACACTGTACCTTAAAGCAGTGTAAAGAGAAATGTGGTTAGCATGACCACTCACTCCTCCCGCATCAAAGGTTACCACCTGCAATAAAACCACAGAACACTAATCATTTTGAAGAAGGAGACTCTGCAGTTACCAACTTTGACACGTAACAGCACTGCCCCAGCCCACTGTATTTAAAGAGCTGGCTTTGTGTTGCACAACGAGGACTTGTGTGTGAACTCATCCTACAGAAATACAACTAAACAAACAAGACACTCTGGAACTAGGTGACTACACAGTCTAACAGCTTGAACAACAGAAGATGACAAATATCATGTTGCCACTGGCAGGATGCACTTGTTACTTATTACCAGGCCAAAAGGTTACTTTCAGAGCAATCTCTTGCAAACTTGTTCCTGACCCAAGAGGTCCAGCTCTATGAATCACTCTCTCCTGGATTTGAAAACATCCTAGAATGCTTGCAGATTACAGGGTGAAACTATGGTTTGCTGTACTGTGAATCAGGACATACTGCTTTAACAAGAGCAACACCATCACGTACTACCGTCCTGGTTGTAATAAAGCTTTATCACAGGATAACAGTGATAATATAATCTGATACAAGAATAAGCCTTTTAAAAGAATGAGCTGACTGCACTTTTTGTACAACCAGGTCAGGCTTTTTGCTGAATGAGAAGATCATATTGTTTATTGCTTCTCTGCAGGGAGAAATGGGAACTTCATAATGCAGAAGTAATGTGTGAACACAGCACTAAGAAGTTACCTTTGAAAGCACAGAATACCCTTGGCATCCTGCCCTCAGACCTACCAATAACGTGCCAGGGCTCGTTACCCTAAGGGGCTAACCCTAAGGGCTCACTCTGCACAGTAGTGTGAAGTGGGTACTTAAAGCCTCCCGTTTCTAACCTAGAAAACAAACTGGCAGCACAAAGTGTAGAGCAGGCAGCGTATGTGTGCTGGTAGGCTTTCCGAATAGAGAAAGTAGCAGTCCTTGGACAGTCTGAAGTTAGGTTTTTCCTCTGGGAGAGGCCAGGCAGCAGAGCTCTCCCCTGCTCCCTTCTCTATGACCAGGAAGAAATCATAACCTCCCCACATTTCAGTCAATGTCTGCTTCCTTGCCAGCCTGTTCTCTCTTCAGGGAAGGAAATGCTACTGCCTTGCTTACTCACCACAGCTCCCTTCTTAAATCCACTTTATATGCAGGGCCTGAAGCACTGGGTTAAAGAACAAGGGAAGATCAAAGGCCGCCCTGCCCGTCCTGCAACTTGCTGCTCCACCCTCCAACAGGAGAGGCCCTCTCCAACAGGGGATATTGTGTAAAGAGGGAGAGGAAACAGAAAGACAGTGATAAGAAATACTTCAAAAACCACAAACTCCAGACAAGCCTGCTTATAAACCCATTCACCCAGTACAAGTCCACAGTTAGACCTTCCACTTTGCCCAGTGGTTGTAATAATGCTGCCACCAAGCAGTGGGGTTATTCATTACTAGCAGGAAGTGGCAGGACCCCCTTTGGTTTTGTTGAGGTACAAAGACGCATTTTCTGTCCTATTTTATAAGGAGAAAAATGATGATTTTGGCTTTGGCTGCTTTTGCTGTACATCAGCATTACCTGAGAGGCTCTCTGCAGTGACTGCATGGTCTGGCATGGTGTTAAGGCCTCCCTAAGAATATCAGCTTTTTGAGTAGTTCATCTGGGAAAGACATTATTAAATACTGTACAGCTCAGGGAATGAGCATAGCACCCTGTGTTTTACAGATAAGAAAAAACATGCTCTGAATTCACTCCAACCCAGAGTGGCACTTTCTTAAGATAACAACGTACCCCACTCACTGCAGGCAGAATAAATTCCTCTGCAGGTGAATAGTAGTGTGAGTCTGCTAAGGGCTGGACTTGCACTAAACCTTTTTTACTAAATGGGGACAGACAGAGGGTTTGTCTCTTCTACCTGGTCATTTATTTTCATGTAACCTGTACAAACATAACATTTTTAAGACTAGTACTACCCTGCTGTCAATTGTGGTTAAAATTAGCCAATGGGCTCTAAAGTCTTTTGAAACATGTATGTGCACACACATACAAATACACTGCATTATTCTTGTTTCCTTAGGAAACCAAGCTAAAAACCCCAGGCAAGCCAAAAGACACATTTTTCCTTCTATGGAGGGTACAAGAGAACCAACCAGAAGACTGAGATAAAAGACTATCGTGAGCAGACTAAATAAGCTAATCTTTGTTTTGACAAAACTGGCTCAGGCCAACTGTGGGAGCACAAGACTGCGTTAGGAAATATTTTTGACATGGAAAATATCTGTTCAGAAACACGTTAGGAGGTTTTTCTTCTCCGCATGTGTTTTGTAATAGGAGTTGCTGTTCTTAGTGCTGCTGGGCTTAAGTAACATCTGAACTAGCTAAAGAGATTGCATGGAGTTAATTTTCAATTTGTCTAATTTACTGTTAGGACATTCGCACCTGAATTGCCTGTCTCTTCAAATATACAAATTTGTAAATACAGCTCCCAAGAGATCTGCACACTGACCTGGCCACGGTGACACTCCCTTTACCTGGAAAGAGACCACCTTTGAAATATTGGCTTTTCACCTCTCCAGATCCCTCCCAGCACACAGGCTGGCTCTGACACAGTGGTGTCCCACCTACCCAGTATGTAGCTTCTAGGTCTGTTGTCTAAACAGGACAGTGGTTCCACTGCGTCACTGTGGTGCTCGTGACTTAAAGCAGGCAGCAATCACATGTACGTATATTCCTCTGGCTTCAGGAATTCAATTCATTGATAACAAATCTGAATTTCTTTCTTTCTCACGTGCTGAAGATATTTTCACAGAGGAGCATTTGCTTCTTCCACATGGTGCAGCTAGCTGGTGTGCTTGCTCTTACCACATAATCCAAACCAGGCTGATGATGAAATCAAGCAAACAATCAGGGCAGGATGAGAAAACCTGAATATCTTGAAACTGTCTGGGTTAAAAACAGGCTTAGCCAGTTCTGGGAGCAAAAGGCTGGGATAGGAAATATACTTGATGTGGAAATTATTGCTCAGTGAAATCTTTTAGGCAAGAGGGAGTTTCCTCCCCACACCTGTTCTGAAATGGGAGCTGCTGCCCTTGGTGTTGCTGGGTTTTCTTCTGGGTGACCTTGGTATTCAGGAAATAGAGCTTTCACTAGTGGAAGCCAGAGCAACAGCCAAGACAAACAGGTCCAGAAATCCCTTCCGGAGGGGGGAGAGCACAGAGGAAATTACTCAATTACTAGCAGAAGAGAAAACTCCTGAGAGGTCTGGAGTCCATGCTCCCTCTATACACCATATGCACAGGAGAAATAAAGCACTCAAAGCTGTGGGTCTCCCTCACTTGTTCTGGTGTCATCCAGTGTTTCAAACAGAGCACACATCTGCTCAAGTAGGCTAGCGGGGATAGAAAGGTCTCTTTCCTTTTTAAGAAGGGCCATCCCATTAAATGCCATCACAAGCAATTCCACTCCTAATGGCCTTCCTCTAAGCATCATTTCATAGGCCTGACTTATACTTGCAGAGGTCAGTGACATTCAGACTCCCTTTGAGTCTCTTGTGTGTTTGGAAATGTCTTTTCTTGCTACAAAATCAGAGAAGCTAAAGATTAAAAAGAATGGACAACGGGATGAAAATGGAAAAATCTAATCATGATCAACATCCCAGTGTTCTGCGCTGCAAGTAAGTCATGCACCAGCTCTTTAAATGAAAGGTCCAGGGGGCCTCTCACACAGGTACCCTAGAGCACACCTGATGAGATTGCAATGTAAGGGAAGAAGGGAAGAAAATGGATGCCAAAGTCTGTCCCAGCTCTGTTGCCTCCTTTAGCAACCTCCACATGATGCACTCCATATCTGGTGTTCTGCAAAAGCATTTAAAATCCTCTATAAACATCACACATTCACCTGCTCCTGAATTTTAGGAGCCTCTCAAATATAAACTCCAATTCGAATGCTGTTTGTAGAAGGATTTGGCTTTCTAGGATGATCTGGAGCTGACCCAAGACAACGGGACTCTTCCACAAACAGTTGTATGGACGATGTTTCCATCAGTCCACAGTGGAATGCAGCTTGTAAGAATGTGGCATTGCTACAGTCTATAAATTAGTTTTGGCTTTGAGTACACGAACTGTTAATTTCTGTGTCTGCACTATTTAATGTAGAGCTTGGATGAAATATATCCTTATAAAGAGTTACTCATGGACTTCCGAGGCAATTGAGGAAATTAGTAACTATGCAATGGAACAAAACTATGCATAAACACGGTGTGACTCCTTGCCTTGCAATCTTTGCTTTCAAATGTGTTGGAATTGCAGCTTGCTTCTCCACTGTCAGATGACACATATGTTCTGTAAATAAGAGATACCATTGTCTATGCTATGACTGTGTGAAAAACTGGGGAAAGCTTTCCCACCGGGTTAGCAAAAACAATACATGTCTTCCAATCGTGTTAACTCCATTAACTTAGTTTGCTGTGTTTGAAACTGTTAGCTTATGTTTTGACAAGGCTCTTTTATCATGTTAAGCCAATTCTATCAATTTCAACTTCACTGAAAAATAGACTCAAGTTTACTTTTCAAGGCAAGGCCATTGTTTTAGGACGGCAAAGGTGACCCAAGAGTGGCTAACAGATAGCAAGCTCTGAAGTTTTAAAATGCAGAATTCAGTGAAGGTAATTAGGTGCTTCCTTGCTGGTTTTGGCAAACTAGGTCTGCTCCTAAATGAATGGTATTATAGCAAACATCTGAGACCTGTGTGATTACTTAGGGTGCTTAAAATGGTGTAAGTTTACAGAGCAGTTCATTACCATTGCTTCAGAGAAGCTGCTTCAGTCGCCTTTGGTATCGCTGATATCTTCTGCTCCAGTAATCTGTCCCCAGTGCGGAGGGGAACACAGTGGGCCCTGCCGCAGTGTTTCTGGTTACGGCAGCTACACCCAACACCCGCAGCACAGCAGGGAGAGTACTAGTAACTGCAGCATGTTTCTCGCTTTGAAAACCCCACACTTTATTTTTCAGTTCACGCTGTTAGTGGCAGACTCCTGCCTCCCCCAGAACAAACAGCTTGAGTTTAATTTTCTCTGAGGCAAAGATCTAACCCCTTCTATCCATCTAGAGGAGTTCTAGTGTTTTCAGCATTTCTACTGGGATTCTGGTGCACTTGCCCTAGTGCCAGTGAGAGTCACAAACAGGCAATACAAAACCTCTTGGGTTAGGAGCTTTCAGATTAGATTAAAACCTATCTATGCATGGGCCTAAAAGGCACAAAAGGAGTCCAGGCAGGAAAACTGCATTTGTCTCTGTGCACAGCAATGTATTTCATGGAAAATTAGCTGCAGAATCAATACAAAGTTGGATGCAGGACGCTGGGTTTTGTGCTATGGGGCTTTCAGGTTACAGGAGATGTGGTTTCTTGTCTTCTGAATTGCTGAAAGGCTTTAAGAGTTTTGTGATTTTGTCAGTGTGTGACATAACATCGCCTTTTCTATACTTACACCTTTATTTCTCTTCTGTGGGAAAAAACCCCACAAGCCACGCCAGTACTAGGAAATCTCCCAGGTTTAATATTCTTCAATCCCAACCTATAACCCTGCTAATCTAGCTCTCTAACACACGCCTGCCAACGTACTTCAAATCTAAACCTGAACGTAAACCTAAATCCCAGATTTAGGCTCTTCTCATCAATGAAACCTAGCAACAGGGGCAAACTGGTTGCTTTAAATTGTAGAAGACATTTGAGGAGTTACTAAAGCAAAATTCCTCCACTGTTCATTTCTCACCGGGAAGCAAAAAAAGATCTCCATAGAGAAAACATGCATCCAAACGACCCCATCATATTTTTCCATATTTTCCAGTGGAGCAATTCTATTTGTTCTGAACTTTTAGCAGTTGTCTGAAGGATTTGAAAGAGGATCAGAATGACCATGTCTTTTCTTGTCAAGACATAGGAGCTGTACAAATATCACAAAAAAATCTTAAACTACAAACCACAGAATTGCTTTCAGGTATCATTTTAGACCTGAAAATCAGCTGGGCTGATTCAGAGGGTCTTCTACAATTAATGAAGCCCAAGATCTATATCAGTAAAACTTACTAGTTCCAATAGAGTTTGCAGTTTTTAACCAATTTGGAGCTTTTGCTCCAGTGAAGGTTGATGACACTACAACCCAAAGTCAGAAGATCTAGCTAGAGAAATGGGTAAACATTATAAGGCAAATATTTCAAAATGAATAAGTATACTCTCTCCTTGTCCCAGGCTATTTCCCAGAGGCTCCAGAAGGAAAATCCTAACTTTAAAGACTTCAGAGAAAGCTTTCAGAGGGAAGGAAAAAGCCTAGAACACTAGCTCAAAAGTAATGTGGAAACTGCCTGTACTGTAGAAAGTTTCACATTACCAGGTTGATGTTATTGGCTTCTATATGCTTTAGCACAAAGGCGGCCAGGAGCTGTGTGTCCCATTCAACAGCAGGATTATCCGGAAGATCCCTGAAAACGAGAAGTGCAATTAGTCACTTCACTGCTGAGAACTTTATAAAGACCCTGCTAGAAAGGAGAGATCCTCTTATCAGAGAATGAAATCAAGATAAACTTATTTACCATATAAACCCACTGAACCTTAGTTAAGAGTCTTACAAGCTTGTATACTGGAGGGTTGAAAGGGAAAGAGCAGTTCCAACACCCTCCTCACAGATTTGCCATGGTCTCCCTTTCTTCTTACCATTAAGGCGGGCTTTCCGACTGCTTTACTTTAAGCAACATCTATTTTGTTCAGTGATTCTTGTTCTCTATTCACCTCAATCAAATTTCTTTCTTTCTTTATTTAAAACCCCTTTAAAAACATTCTCCTGCAAGACTTTCCAATCATAATCTACTGTTGAATTACATATGAAAAGTAACAAGCAAACTCCTGCACTCATTTATACTGGAATAACCCATTAACCTCAACCAGAGGACAACAAAGCCATAATTACATCGCATGGATCTGACAGTAGTTCTTCATCTGATAATTTTATACCGTACCCAGTTGGTATGCAAAGCACACTGTGACTGAACACTCTGCCTGGGTATTTTAGATTGCAGGCTTCGAGGTGCAGGGACCATGAGCCAAATGCAAAATAACACCAGACAGCCAAGAGAATGATTCCGTATTTACACAGCTGAGAGCTGAATTTGACCCCCCAGTCATTATGTTTGAATGATGCCAAGAAAACTTTGCTTGCAAAGTTAAAAAGGTTATTAGTAACAACAGGATAACACACAGCTGCTAAAGACCAATGATGACATGTTAAACTGGTCTTTTTCTCAGACCTTTTCCCTCCTCTGATAGACTGATAATTGCTGTGAGTTAGTTTAGCAGAAAAGTGACTACATAGCCTTCTCACACAGACACTTGGGTTTGGATCTGAACTGATCCAGCTGTTTGCTGCGGAGAGCAGGGGCGCTACCGCCCAACACTTTTTGGGTCTCCCTGGACAGCAAGGCCGGTAACATCTGCAACGAAACAACAGGAAAGTGTCTCCTTGGCACATTCCAAGGTGAAGCTCAGCCTGTGTCTTCATCAGAGGTCTTCTGGCCACAAATTTTCCCACTGCTGTTAACAGTAGTAGTAGTAGTAGTAGAAGGAAGAGCCTAAAGTACAAGCTGACCATTAGCATTTTACCCATGGTGTTACACACTCCTTTCAGCACAGGCCAAAATAATGTGCTATTAGAAACCCCAGCAACAAGAGAAGGCGTTTCTACATTAGGTACACATTCTAGCTATGGTCCCTGTTGTGGTATTTGTTTGCAATTCCCTCTTGTATAGACAGCATCTTTGCCTGATGTATACAAGACATTTACATTTCATCATAGGAAAGATTCTTTCGTACATCTGGTGGCTGTCTCATCAACTTAACAAACCCGCATCTCATCTGCTCAAGACAAAAACTTCCACGTCTCCTGTTTGAAGAGGAAGTGGCCCTGTTGACCCTGAAGGTACTGCAAGTCCCACCACATCACAGCAAGCTTTAAATGGAGCAGATTTTAAAAATATGCTTCAACTGAAACGTCTCAAGCAACACGCACACTGAGCAGAGTCTAAGTGCAAGTCTAACAGTGCTTCAAGTTGTTCAAACGGTACCTCTGAGGTTATGTCAAGGCTTAATCTGATAATACTGAAGTAGTAAATTAGTCTAAAAGGGGATTCTTCACTGGCCACTTACAGTGCAAGTATCATTCCTGGTTTTGGACAGGGGTTAAATGGAGCTGTGGAGGAAGTGAAGAGTCCCATTAAAAGAGGAGGGGTGCTCGAACAGTGAGAGGTCAGAAAAAAAAGTAGGGCTTGGAATTTATGATGTCCAGGAGGCTTTGGTGTCATAGCCACTGCACTCAGCTTTATTGGGCTGTCTCCAAAAAGGCTGCAGGGTAGTGGAGCAGGTTTTAACTAGTTTAGACAGATAAAGATCACCCTCGTTCAATGGAAATGAACAGCTGGAGGCAACGGTTTAGAATCCCTGGAAACAAAACAATCTGAAGGCATGAGCAAATTAACTCCATGAACACTGAACTGATTAGGCAGTAATATTCTGCAAAAAAAATCTGCTTCTACCCACTTATGGCTGCTCATGGAGAGACCACTCACTCCCAGTAAGGAAAATTAATTATTTTTCTTGCATAATATTTGTCAGGCACCAAAGAGAGAGAAGCTGATCTTGCCAAACAAGACACACATGTACATAAACACATTCATAACTCATTAATAGCCACGTTGTCCCACTGAAGTATTCATAGCTCATTCTGCAAACACAAAAAGTGACATACAGGTTAAACGACATGCCCAAAGTCACCCACAGAAGTCAGTATCAGAACTGGCAATACATTAATCCAGATAGCTTCAGGAAATTACTTTTTTTTTTTTTTTTACTTTTTGATAAGAGTTTGTATAATACTTTTTAAAGTCGAAAATTGAAGTGTTACCGTGATAGTAGACTCCACAGAAAGCATGAGACCAATAACTTTCTGGCTGTGCTCTGAATATCAATAATTGGGTCCAGGTAATAATGAAAAAATGACTAAGAAAACCAAGTTCACATACAGTCTATAGCAATGCACACAAAATACATTCTCACAGGAGGTCTCTACCTGCCCCTGGAACTTTGTAGGGGCATGCAAACTTTGAAAAGTGCTGTAGTTCACAAAATCATCCATTCAGTAGAAAATATTATCACAAATCAGTCCTCAACAAACCTGGAAAGTCCACTGACTTCTTGCACTGTTGAAATAAGTTGCATTCATTGTGTTTTTACCTTCAGGGCGCAAAAGAATTCAGCATTTAAATAGTTAACTCCACACTGCCTTTCTGGCTAAGGCTGATAATGCCTCCGAGCTCAAGGTCGAAGGGCTGAGATAAAGGACTATAAAGGAGTGAAAATTAGCACATTCCGTGGGGCAGACTGGAGCTTGTCCCAGGAGACCCGGTTTTCCACCCACCCTCCCTGTCCTCTGCCCCAGAGAGCTCCTCGTTGCTGCTGTCAGTCACTGAGACAGATCAGGATGTAAATCCTGCACCGGAGTCCTCCCAGGACATGCTGCTGGTGGGGAAGGCTTGAGGGGTTTGGTCACTTGGCCTCATTTCCACCAAAGTATTACGGTCTGGGAGTGATGTTTGTAACTATGTTTATCATTCCACATCATACTGAATGCAGGTGGTTGATTGGATGCAGCCCTTGTTGACCAGAGAAAAACAGGGAGGTAGAAGCAAAAAAAAAAATACTTTTAGTAGAATAAGGCTCCAGAAATGTTGTTTTCTCAGCTATTTTCAGTGAAAGCCATGCTGTGTACTGTACAGGGAATTTACAGCTGTGCCAAGGGATCTATAGACTGAAGAGAGAGAAATGGAGAATTATGGTGCTGCAGTATGGAGTAATTTCTGTATCAGCTCACTGATTTCAGCAGGACCAGTCATGGGAAACACTGCATTCTGAACACAAAACCTGTATCTTTCTACTTATCCATCCGCTGTTGGTAGTGAGGACTGGACAGGACCTCTGGTTTTCTTCTCACCTCTGCTTTGCTCCTTGCCAAGCCGAGCAGACACTGGCACCTGCTGCTTCTCTTCCCAAAGTGTGCTTAGGAAGAATTAAGGTATTGGATACCCTGGGCCAGACACCAGAGAGCTACAAGGGGGCCACAGCCAAACCACAGCAGCATATCAAACCAAAACTCAACCTTGTGCACATCTTGCCCAGCAGTCCTACAGCTGGCTGAATGAAAGTAATGTTAAAATTCGCTGCCTGATGCCAGCCCCTCTCCAGGCCTCCTCCTCTTGCCTGCTGTGGGCTGTAGCTCCTCTTTTGCCTCAACCTTGGCCATTAAAGCACTGTGCATGTTGCCAGGAATCCTATCCCTGCCAGTAGCCTGGACAGTTTTGTAGGGTCATCTTTCTAGGAACGTTTGGGCTCAAGATGGCTAGACTCCTGTCATTTGGAAGGTCTCTTTTGGCCAAGACAGAGATTTAAAAACCTTCACAGATACCCATTGCCAAGATACACTGCTCAATCCCTGCCCAATTTTCCACTGCTCATCTTCCACAGATCTTTTAGCAACAGTCGGTGCATTTATATGTACAATCTTCTTTCAGAGCCTTCCATGGAATTTATTCTGCTCATGAACTTAAGCTCTCATGACTGCTCTAAAGGTTAAGTTAAACTAAACAGTCTATGCGATGTCCACGTGGTTTAACAAACAGCAAATGGGCTGACCTACACGGGACACTTGCAGTTAGAATAACCTTGAGATCTGTCCCTCCTGCAATCTGTTGCATGGGGCTGTCCCCAGGCCCCTGGGTGCATTGTGAAGCAGTGTCTCTCGTTATGTGACAGTCACTCTGACAGGGACTGGCAAGCACCCTCTCTGCCTTGATGTGAAGCCTTTATAGGTGGCAACAGGGAAGGGAGTAGAGTGGCACTAGGGTTGCTCCTAGATGATGTTCAGGTCTCCATTAATGCATTCTGAGACACCACGGCAAAACTTTCAAGGTACTAATGTGATTTTCCATTCCACTACACACCGAAAGGGTCAAAATGAAAGAGCTTTCCCATTTCTTATTGCCTGTTTATCCTGCAGCATGACCTTAATCAATCCAAGGCTAGGGATCAGAAAACATTTCTGCATAATTTCTCCTCCTTGTCCCTTCTCTCTCCAATGAATGATTTTACATTAAATCAGCACAAAGGTCTGTAGATTGATGGTGGATCATGTAGGAAACAGGTGAACTGCTGTGCGCTAGGTTCCCTGCTGAGAACAATGACCACAATGTGTTTGTTGGAACAAAGGATGCCCTTTGTATAAAGTTAACTGTATGAAATGAACATCTGGGCAATTGAAACTGGATCAAAAAGCAAAAGATTCCACAGAACAAAATGACGTGAGTGCACAATTAGTGAAAAAGCCATGTGATGACTAGAGGCAATCAGTGACCTTTATATCATAGCATCAAAGTAATTGAAAAAACTGTGTAAACAGAAATTATTTCATGCTCTCTAAAGTGAAGTAGATAATTTTTATTTTTCAGATTACACTAAGATAAGTTAAGACAGGCTAGCCCTAGATCTTGAAGCAGAGCCTCTAAATCCTTACATTAATAACTATTTATAACTATTTATCTCTTCCTATAATGGCCAGTTACAGACAGGAGGGGAAATACGGCTGCTAGGCTGCATGTACATCTCTGATTCAATTGAAAAAAGTCCACTTAGACAAACGATCAGCATCTTGCAACATCATGTTATACAGAGAACAGATGCTGTGTGCTTACTGGAATGTAACAGTCTACAATTTAGGAGAGAAATGAACTAAACCAGGATGCTAGCTGTCAAATGAAAAGCCATCTACAACAGAGAGCTCAAGCTGAAATCTTTACACCAGCAGCTTCATCTTTCTCCTCATAGTAAAGAAGCCCAAATTATTCTGAGATTTGTATTTTCAGATTGAAAATATGAATCTTAGGTTTTGTTGTAGGTGGAAGGTAAAGAAAGTGTCAATGACTGGTACATTAAAAATAAAATACACTTCAAATATTTCACAAAAGAAAAAAAGCAGAATGGGCCATAATCCTTTTCTCCAATCCTTAACTTTCGTATAACATGTAAGTTTGGACCTACTTTATACAAATTTCAAGGGCACATTAAATCAGTTTAGATGCCAGGTAAGTGCTGACATCATTAATGGGGCCAAACCAGGCAGAAGTCATGTGTAAAGGGAAAGAACACAAAGATAGTACTCTGTAAAGCTGGCTCAGAAGTCCAGGCAAGCTGTGCATGCTTCTCCACTGAGCTATGTAAAAACACCGTGCACCTCTGACAGATAATATTCCAAGTACCTCCATAACTCCCCAAAAGTAAATGGTAATTAGATCTCTAGGCAACAAACTTTTTGAGTTGGGCACGATCATGTGTTTTTGTTTGAGAAATAACCATCCTTTGGGTTTAAATTCAAAGGAATTATTACAGAACACAGGACTGGTTGTTTGCAAAGACCTATCCGAATGTCCCTGTACTCATTTATTTTTTTAATGAATTATTGATGATTTCTCAGCAGAGACTGATGTCTATTCACAGAGATGACACAATTGCTTATCATAATTTGAAATCTGGTATTCATTTGACGTCTGTGCCTCAGTGCCTTGTTGATAAATTACAGCACAAAGCTCTGTAGGAACAAGTTCATATTCAATGTCTTTAAACAAAAACAATTGATGGTACCTTTCAAGAACAGAAATGCATAGAAACTACAGTGGCTAAAGCCAGTTTTAAAAAGTAACTTTTAAAAACTAGTTTGGAGAGGGCATCAGGCCCTGCCATGTAAGACAGGAAACAAAATTCAGCTCATCTAATTCTGAATTGATCACTGATTTAGTCACAGCTTTCCCGTCTTCCGCTCTTCACGCCTCCAAAATGGAAATAATTGTATGTTCACACCTATGTAAAGAAGTTTGAGATTCTTCTAAGAAAAGTGTTATGTCTTTTTTTTGATTTCTAGATTGAAGTCTAAAACACATGTCTTGGCAATCCTGGGTATTGGGAACCCTGCAAAACTGTACTTTACTCCTTGCATTGTCTTCCCACGGATGACTGAATTGAGTTCAACATCTTAGTCCTGACTTGAAGGTCTGGCGCAAAATATATGAAAGACTGCATAAAGCTCTAAAATGATGCATACAGTGAACAGTTCTGCCCATATGGTGCAGAGGAACTCTGCAACGAGGATAACATCTTCTCAAGTAGTTAGGACTTCCTTTAGGGGCTGGTGCCAAACAGTGCATGGACTCCCAAATGAAGTGTCATCACAAACTGCTTTGCTTTCATCTACAAATGCCAGGAATACTCCTTGGAACATGTCCTTTCTAGCAGAAACACAGCAATATTTAAAGTTTAAAATATCCCAAACTCTCCAGAGCACATAAAAAAGATGACACATCTGGGCCAAATGTTACCCTAACAGTGGAGACCCTCTTTGCCAAACCACATGACAGGGGTTTGGGTGTGTTGCCTAGTGGGCACCTTGCTTTGGTCACGTAGTGGCAAGGTGTCACCATGTAATACTGCAGCTAAGGAACATGATTTCTAGTAGGGTCATAGTGGTGGAGAAGAGTATTTCTGGCATCTGTCTACAACTCCTTGTTCAATCCTTGGTCTCAAACAACAAATCGCATCTGTGGCTGACATGCTTTTAGTACGCAGCACTGCCCCAGTGCTCTGCTGCAAACATATGACCTGCAAGAGCAGAAACAAGACCTGGGAGTCTCACATGCAAGTGTCACACTCCACGTGCGACTCTCATGTCATTACTGCGCTACTGAAACATGCTCAGGAACTAATGTGAAGAACACATCAGAACCTGTGTAGTCGTCATCACTGACTGATCCATCACACAAGGCAATGAGCACCGAATACCTTGCTGTCATGCACAGCTTGGAATTCAGCTGCCAGAGGAAGGAGGGGCCTCTGGTTCATTTACTCCGAACTATGCTGCAAAGCCCTAGCTTCAATTTAAGCAGAAGCCTGCAACAGGTTGTTTGCAAGAACCACACAGCACCATGGAGTGTACCTGGATCCCTGGTGAGATTGGTAGTAAAAAACAATTAAGTTCAAGGCCCTAAAGAGAAATCTTTAAAACATAAAGTGGTTCTCCCCCCTACCTTTCATCCTCAAGTTGGGTGCTGTGTTTTATGCTACTTTTTATTCCCAGCTTTCATTCACGTTTGAGTTGCATTCATTTTGTATATACACCACATGCCAAGCCAAGGCCAGTTACAGCCCTTTGTCCCTGACCTCCATTATGTGACCAGAATATACTGAGTGGGGCCCACAGATCCCACACCAGTGACACATTGTCAGCCAGCCACCATTTAGCCTGTTTCAAGCAGCAGTTTCCAGCAGTACAAACTGCCAGTAGTGACTTGCCAAGTGCTGGGCAAGAAGCCTCCCTTTCATTTTATAGAAGCTGGACTTCTGTGTGATCTGTTGGGGGCCATTAAGAAAGTTCACTGAAAACATCAGTCAGAGGCCAGACTTAGTAGCCTCGTGAGATTTGGGGCTGCCATGCTGAATTATGAGTCAGCAGTTCCTCCTCTGGCCCACTGAAATGTGGTTTGGGCAGCAGACAATACTGCAGCGTGAAATAAAGTCAATTCCACTCACATCTTGGAGCGGTATGCGGGGAAGTAGACCATTAAAGTCCCTACCTAGTTCAGGAAAACAAGAATTCACCAACCATTTTCTGAGTATCTGTTGGCAAAGTGCATTTCTGGTATTTGTCCCAAATGACTGACAAATAACAGGTCTATTAGAAACATCTGGCAATCTCATCTGCAGACCTTTAATAAGAGAAACATCTTCAAACATGCCACTGTCTGGGCTCTTAGGGCACAGTTGCTGGGCAAAGGTATCTATGTACCAGCACTTCAGTTCAACACCTTCCCAAGGCCAAGATGATGTTTGATAGAAAAGCTCAATGGAAAGCTTGGGCAGCAAACATGGACTCTAGCAGTTGGTGCCCTCTGGGAATTTTGCTCCACATTCCTGGAACAATCTGCTCTTGTCTGTGTCAGCTCCCAGAGGGAGGATAAACTGACCTGAAACCAAAAAAGGTGAACTCACCTCTTACTAACACTTAGCTCCTTGGGCTCAATTACTTCCCACTTCGGGTTGTCTCTGGCCACTCTGACAATAATAGGGGAAGAACACAGACCACATTTCTTCAAAAGCACCATCTGGACTATAAGGAATGAGCATCATTAGACCTATATGAAATGATCGGGCAGTTCCCAGAATAGCTCACAGCAGTGCTTGCTTCTCTTTGTTATTATTGGCCTTGCCACAGTGCTTAGGAATTCATCTGGGGTCTGACAGTCTAAGTTGTCCTGAGTGAGAACAAAAAGCTCAGCAATCCCACAATCAAAACTTCTGTTTTAAAACTGAAATACAAATCACCAGCAAAACCAGGACTCTGAGGAGCAGACCACAGGACTTCACTCCTCCCTTACTCATTTATTTTGTTTTGTAAAATGCTTAGAAAAAAAGAACCGTGCAGCCAGGCAGAGCTAGGGACAGGGTACATCAGTCAAGAAGCAATGTCCAACTGACACGACTCCTGGCACCACTGGCCCAAGGAGGGCAGACTTCCAGTTTCAAACTGCTGGGTAGGAGGTCTGGATCTCCTGGCAGAAGAGCAGGAAGTGGACAGGTGGAAGAGGAATGCTTTGAGTTCCTCCTAGCTAGGTTTTCACTACAGTACTGACACATGAAGTTCCCAACATGCATGATGTTATGCCCAGGACTCCACAGCAGAAAGGGTTCAAACACAAAGGGAAGGAACCGAAAGTCTCCCACAGCAGCCAGCAAAATCCTTCAGAGGCAAATGACTGAAATACCACAACCTGCATACGCCAAATAGACCTAGCGCCACTTTATCACAACCTTAGTATCAAATCTGTTTGCTCTTGGAACAATAAATACACCATACTGTACAGGCAAAACCTGCAGTTCTGATCTGGCCCACGTAAGTCATACAGAACTTTGCCACTAACCTAATGGCACGGGCCAGACCTTCAAAGAGAAGGAGAGCCAAAAGCATAATTGCTTCTGCCAAAGTCTTTGGTTGTCTCCACGTAACAAGTAAACTGCAGTCAGAAACCTCATGAGAAAGCTTGTAGCTGGATCAATCCTTCAGCCATTTTAATTAATCATCTAGGAAGAGAAAGCACAGCATAGTCACTTCTTGGACATTTATTTCTCATGCCAAAACTTATGTAAATGCAGATGCAACTTCAGCAGAGATCTCAAGAGCATGATGGCCTGATTCCAAATGCAGCTTCCCATGTCACAACATTCCAGCTTCCCTGTACCAGTTCCATCCAGAAGGAGGTTTCCTGACTCCTCAGCCTCCCACAAACATCTCCTGCAATCCATTTGACCTATGCAATGACAATAGAGGCATTACTTCTTGAAGTCATGGTGTACCCACCCTCTGTAACACTGAGTTCTGATGCCCTGGGCTCTCTAAACACCCATCTTAATTGTGAGCTTGATCCCACAAATTTTACTGACATGCAAAGTTTCTACTCATGCAAACAACCCTCTTGCAGGCACTGTCTTGCCAGCCCCATTCATGTGAATGCCCCAATTACATGATTACATGAGCAAGCTCTAGGCCAGGCCCCGTTTTCTCTCTGTGAAAACCCACAGTGCCTTCCAGGGCAGCCCAGCCAGGAACTGTACTTGAAACTCCATTTGCAACAGCTATGCGGGACAGCAACAACGAACAAAACGCAACGACCTTTATCGTTTAGCCTTCCTCTCATCCACGCTCCGATTTAATGTGAACGTTATGCAATGGTTTTGCTATAGCAACAGCCGGGGTGCTCGGCAGTAACCCTGCCGCTGCCTGCCTGGCCGGCGCTCTGCGGCCGTGATGCACCCACTGAACTTTGGCCCACTAGTGAGCCTCCCACTCCCCGGCAGCCTGCTGGCCTGTTTACACTGCTCACATGACAGGCGAGAGGGAGGCTCCTGGCAGCCGACAGCATCCAGCTCGATTTTTAGGACCAAGCCAAGATTGCCAAAGGCTGGAAACGATTAACTCTTGCGAGCAGGGACTTCACGATTCAGCAGCCCAGGAGAAAGGCCACTCTGCCCAGCCTGAGTGGTGCTTCGCCCTCCCGACACCACTGCAGGAAACTGAGCGGGATGAAGGCATTCAGCGAGGCGGGGGGTAAGGAAATCAGTAAGCTGTAAAGAAGGGAACAGTATCTTTTTTTTTTTTCTTAGTGAGTGGCAGATGAGTGAGGATAATGAACTGGAGCTGGGAACATAACACCCTTACCAAGAGCTGCGTGCTGTGAATTGCACGTACCTGGGTTACATGGGGGTGACAAAACTCTTCTGTCACACGGAGCTGTGCTGGGCAGTGTCCCAGCCCTGGGCTCTGGAGCACCTCGCAAGTACCAGTGGCACAGCAGCACCTCGGAGGCAGGGAAGCTGTGCTCTACACAAGCCTTCTTAAAATGGTTATTCAATCTTAACAGCACAATCCAGTAAGAAAAAGCTGCAGACTACCAACCTGCAGCCATGCCATCACTGTTTGAGCAGGACTACTACTACTACTTCAGCACTTTTACAGCATTTATTTCCACACATTAACAGATGTTCATTAACTAACCTCCCTGTGAGGCTGGTATGGGGAAGTAAGCAAGTAATAACCCCCACATTTTATGATGACAGAATTAAGAGCTCAGGTAACTCTCCCTAGAGAGCCCAAGGCAACAGAGCTGAGTCAGGGGCAGAGCCTGGAATGGAGCATGTGGGCTCCCGGCTCACAGCACGGCCGCAGCCCAGCGCTGCATCACCCATACTCACTCCAGGAATACGTTTTTATTGCCTGGGGCAAATAACAATCAGTTTTTCAATAGGCCTCTTACAGGTGCTCTGCAGAGCCTCATATATTCCTGGGTATTTGGGCTGAACAGCAAACACATTAACAGTTGAAAATTATGCACCATTACAGCAACATCACAGGAGCTGCTTAAAAGTGTCCCTCAAAACCTGTCAATGGCCGAAGTGTTGACCTCTGCATCACCAAACTGTGCTCTGGACTGCATTGGTATGACACAGCCCTGGATAACTCTTTCTATCAATATTCTTGGCCAACTTTTCCTTATATACTTGTTACCTAGGAGTAGTCTATATAAACTCATGGCTTGCCCTAAAACACTGCATTCTCCAGTAAAACCTTTCTATTCCCAGTAAGAGGCTGTGTGGATTTATTTTCTTTGCTGTGATGACAAGTTCATTGTAACAAGATTGGACCCTGCAGATAGAGCACAGAAAAGCAGGTATGCCTTGATAACAGAACTCCCTTTGATAGCTTCATCCACAGTTATACCTACATCCTCATAAAAAACACTGAAAGGAAATTTGTTGGGTCTGGCTAAAAATCTAAGCACTGGAAAAGTCTGAATAAAATCAGTGACTCAGTCTCATTTTTGTAGAAGGAGGATCACTGCAATAAACTGTTCTCTGCCCCTTACTGGTAACTGTCTGAATTCTCTGACACCCGTGTATGAGCTCTCCATGTAGTACTCCCATTCAAGCCTCAATCTATTAGCACAAATTCTGCAATCCCCCTACCTCTGTTACCCACTGATCAAACCTCTGTCTGCCAACATTATCTCGCAATATTATACAACATCTTTTCCAAGGCAAATGATAAACCAGCCTTGGCATCCCATCATGTGGCTACTTATGAGAATAAGAGAAATGCTGAGCATTTGGCTTATGAAACAGAAATACAGGAAGAAAATATTTATAACAATGCTACTGTTTAAATAAAAGAGACCATAATTTATTACAGATGTGACCCTTCCTTCCAAAACTAAGGGTTTAAATCTTGTTGATGCTATGTAATGACATGAAGTAGAACTTAATGAAGAATACATCCTATTTAAATTGTAAATTGCCTCCTTTTATCCTCTGCCATTTTGTACCCCAAAATAAGCACAAATTTTGCCTCTTTCAAGCATTGTTTGCCAGATTTTTCAGTGCTTAGATTAGAAGATTTAAAAACTGATTTACAGGAAAACATTCATCCTTCATCTGAAAACAGACTGAACACTTAGACACTTAATGAAATTCAGTTAAATATTAACTATTAAAGAAGACAAAATGGCACATAGATAAGATTTGTTAAGCTTACAGTCACAAAAACTATAAAGCATGTAGAATGTATGTGCATAGAGGGAAGGCTATGTAATGAATGTAATTATTTCAATTCAAATACTACTTGCAGAGAAATAGACTGCAACACTGAAATGATTAAGTATTGAAATTACTGTATAAGGAGCATGCAGGTACAATGAGATAGTTAATACCTGACTTGTTAGAAGACGGGACATGACTTGGCATGGAACTGTAATCAAATTGTTTTCATTTAATGCTTCAGTTGGTACAGAAGGATCAGATAACAAAATATTCATCCTAAATTCCATTTCAGTTTCTAAAAAAGTATTTGTTTCCTGCACTGCAGTAAAAATATTTTTTTCCTTTCAACCAAAACGTATTGAAGAAGCTACAGGAGCCAAAAGATTCTCAATGATGTCAAGCAAAGCATTCATCTCCCTTGTGTCTGATCTCTTGTGCAAGAAAACTGAGATTATGGGTCATAAAACACCATCCACATTTGCAAAATCTAGTGTACATTAGGAAGAAAGGTGAATATGTGACAAATGAAAACATACACTTCCTATTTGCTTCATCAAGTTCTGTTTTCCGCTTTTTAAAAAGTTGATGTTGCATCATCAAAACAGCTGTTTCCTACAGCACAAATTATCTGAAGTGCTCAAAGTTGGCTTTAGTATCTTCACCAAAAGCAGCAGTAAAACTCCATAAGCAAACTAGAAAAGCCCATCCCACTACTTTGACATATTATTTTACACTGTTTTACCCATTATAATGAAAATACCTATATATTTTTTAACCAATTTTTTTAGCATTACTTACCTTACAAGAGAGTATCTTGTTCTATTCATAATTGTTGTATGTTGGGAATTCTGGATTGCTGGCACTCTTTGTTGGTGGGTTGGGTTCTTCTAAACAAAATTCCTATTTGGTGGTGGGGTTACGTTAAATGTACTCCCAACCTAGCAACTGTCCCTTTGAGGAGTTTATTATTTTTAATAGTTTGCTCTAATCTCAAGTATCACACCCATCAATTTCTAATTC